TGTTTGCTTGCATTTGGGAAAAGGAGTCTGTCCCAGACAACTGGGGAGAATCGGTGATAGTGCCCACTTTCAAAAAGGGGCGCGTAGTTAGTGTGGTATCCACATGGGAGTCAGCTGGACTCCGGACGTAACGAAACTTCCGGCGTCACTGATGCTTCGTCACCTTACGGTTGTGCAACGGGTACTTCCGTTGAAGAATGTGTCCGTCACCAGGAGCTGCGTTGATTGGAACATTTGTTGCGTATGCCGAACCGTCGTTTGTCGAAGAGGGTGCTGGTTTCCATAGCTAACTCAGAGTGGCGGAAGCAGAGAGGTGGCCAACCCTTGACTTGGCAGAGAAGCATCGGTGTTGAACACTGATGTCATGCTCTCGATGATGATGATGATGATGATGATGATGATGATGATGATGATGATGATGGCAAAGAGGTATGAAGGAGATTACGAAACGCTCGGATGCTGTCGGTTCCACTCGCCTTCCAGGATGGGGGCCGCGTGATCCCCACTGCGTCTTGTTGGAGACACTCCAAGATATGGCTGTCAACCGATGTCAGTGGCGTTCTTGTTGTCAGTTCCTATCCAGATTGAACACAGGCAGACACAGATAGACAGGGATGGCAGATCCGCGAAATCCAAGTGGGGTTTTGTCCTGTAATATGGTGCATTGATCTCATCTTTATTCTCCAACAGATTCTGGAACAGCGACACTGCTTTCAGCAACCAACCACTGTTATATTCCTTGATTTGAAGGCTACCTTTGATTCTCTGGACCGTCAGGAACTATAGAAGTGTCTATGGAGCATTGGTGTCCTTCATAAATTCTTAACGTTCCTTTAGTCGTTGTACACCAACTCCCGCGGCCGTATGAAGAAGTATGAGAAGCTCTCGCCTGAGTTCGCCACACCAAATGATGTTAGATAAGACTGCCCCTTTTCATCTTTCCTCCTCAACTTCGTTATTGATACGATTATAAAAAATAAATAAATAAATCGTTCAGCTGTAGTACCCATTCGGTGCCTAACTGCCATGCCACCCGAAGGAAGCAGGAGGGCTGGGATACTGCCAGGTTGCCCAAGCCTAGACAGGGGAAGTCGGGTTCGAACCACGGACGTTCCGGTCAGTAAATTCGCGCTCCAACCACTTGGGCCGTTTTGCCCAATCACTATCAACCTCTAACGCCTGTGGGGCCGAAGTTCTTCCGGGGTGCCCGCTCATAGATATCGAGTACCCAGAAGACCCAGCTTTTCTTGGATCTGATACTGTGGGAATGCAAACAATATTAAGTAATCTAAGTAATTCCACCTCAGGATTGGCATGCTTTTTCACACTTGCAAAATGCAAAGCGCTGCTGCAAGACTGAGTAGGCTCGAATCCCAGCCACATGCTGGCGGATGTGCCACTTGAGGTAGCAGATAAGTTTGGCTACCTGGGCAGCTGTATCAGTCTTGCTAGTCTCGCGAAAGATGATATTCCCATCCCGATCAGAACAGCTTTTGTGGACCTGCGTCACCTCTGGCGTAGGCGTAACATCAGCTTATCCGTCAACGGTTATGCTTACAATGCCGCGGTGCGATCTATATTGTTATACGGGTCAGAAACGTGGCAGCTGTGCGCCGAGGAGGTCAAAAGACTTTCAATGTTTGACCATCGATGTCTTCGGAACGTTGTCCGAGTCTGGTGGGAACACCTGACCAGCAGTGCTGAAGTACGCTGAATGGTATTTGGAAGAAATAACTCGTCCACGATAGATGAACTGATCACACTCCACAGGTTGCGATAGATTGACCATGTGCTCCGTATGTCAGTCGACCGACTACCTCGAAGGGTTCTTTTTACAAAACCACGCGAATGGTGGAAACCAGCCAGGAGAGATCAAACAATCAATTGGCAGCGAAGTGAGAAAACCATTACCAGAAAACTCAGCTGCGCTGGCCATTGCCGTCTCTTTGGATGGGGACCCCGAGACGGACCGCATTGGTGGTTAGAGACATTGTCAGCCCTCAGTGGCACTCGTGCATTCAAGCTACTGTCTTCAATGCATTGCTTTTTTTCAAATCATCGCCTAAAAGTCCACTGACACACCTGTATTTACACATCAATCTATCAGCTCCCACCTCCAATGCGCAGTTGTCTACCCCACCCGGTGGACGAAATCGTGGCAGCTATAACCACTGTACATCAACTACTCGGCCCTTGCAGCTGATAATGATGATGATGATGATGATGGAAATGAGACAGACACGCGTCTGTGAACTTAACTCTCCGTCGTAAATACGTGAAGGATGGCAGAATCTGGGAATGTGTAACAGTGTCTGAATAAGCGGATGGTGACCTGTCTAGTCCGTGAAGACCCGAATCTCTAGCTAGTTCCAGCGAACTGAAGCATGTCAGTAGCTTGTGGCTTATGTCGGTTGTATCGTTTTACAATTTTACCGCCTTCAGAAAAATGTCCAGTATGTTGTGGACGGAACATTAGGGTTGAGAGGATTCAAGGCTTTGCACTCGAGCGACTAGTTTTCTCGGTCAATAGCTCACCTCCTTTTGGTCAGTGAATAATTGTTCCTCCTATTATGGTAGTTTCTATCAATGCTGACAACATGAATTTTTTATCGGTGCCTTTCAGGTTTTTAGATTCACTAGTTGATAGTCCATCTACCCACATCGAATCCCCTTTCCTTTCAGCTGTTAAGTTTTTCGTCATCATCCTGGTCGGTGTGCCAGCGTCATGTCTTTTTCGCTCCCTGACACAACTTCATGTGTCGTAACGGATGTGGTTTTCGTAGATTCCGTAACCGCCGCACCCACCGGATACACTGTGGTAAGTCGATGACATGAAATTGTTGCTATCACCGCTTTGGCTCCCGAACACGTGGTCATCATCGTGAATAACACTGCACCGGTAGTAAATACTGTTGTCTACTTACAATGAAGAAAGCAGACCCTCGTAAAGTGTAAAATTGAAAAGTCAAAGGATTCCAAAGCATTTGGAGAGCATTGCAGCACAATTGGTTAATGGGGACTCTACCAGCAACTCTAATTTTACATCTTTTTCAAGCCTCACTCCACAAAGACAACACCCACTTTAGCTAGACAGTCCGGCTAGGAGACGGAATCATTCTTACCGTTGGGATTGCACCTTATTTCTGCGTGATGGTTTGTGCACCTCCATAACCAACTGAGTTTTACTAGGGAGTGTACGTGGGACAGCCTCCCGTATCATGTTGGTCATTGGGTAGAGGTCTGAATATCAGTCTCTTGGTTTTCCAGGTTGAGGTGAAGCATGTGTGGCAACTTGCTGCTTTGAAATCTAGGCTGCCCCGACAGCCTTGCACCAATCCCCGCAGCCTCGTGGTTCGGCCTTTGAGTTGAAGGCTTTGGTTGAAGACCTTAATCGTCCTTCGTGTAGGTCTAGGCACTATGACAGTGTTCCATTTAACGGTAAATTACGAACTGCATATCTACAGAGAACCTCATGTCACAGCCTTTGCAAGGTGCCACTTTTCTGTTACCCTACTTGCCGCATACAATAGAGCGAGTATGCGAAAAACATGTTACCATTAACGCCTCCTCACCCCGTTGAATCAGCTGCCATGGCCACAGACAGTTCGAAATCATCCTTCGAACTCCAACGCCCAATTCATCTGTTCACACTGAAACAAGCGGGACAAGCGACTGCTCGTCTTTCCTTAATGTGTGCTGTTTCTGTGGGGAAGAGGGGGGCGAGA